CACCTCTGCCGAGGTCCATCTCAGTGCAGCGTTGCTCTGGGTTGTTGCGGATCCGGCACTTGTACACGGCTCCGGGTGACTGAACTGAACTACTGAAAGACGAGTTTGCTCTGGGAGCCCCAACCACAATCCTACAAACATCAGGAGGAGAAACACATCACAACACAGCCTCTGAGGACACAACAGTCAATTCATACAGTTTTTGGTCATTGTAAAGGGGAAATAAAACTAATATTCTCTGTAGGTTTGTTTCTTTTATCTGAAAGTGTGACTAATAAGAATGCCTAATGAGTGAATTAGGACTGGAGGAGGTTTCGCCTTGTCACACTGTCATGGTTTGGCTCTTCAATTCAGTGATGTAAGCTCTACATCATTATCTCCACCGAAGCAAAAGGCAATGATTTGGGTGCTAGCCAGTGTTTCCCTTTCAAATTTAGGACAGATTTTGGAAGAAAGGCTTAACATCTGTGCAGTCACAAGAGAATTTATGAAAAAGTTGCATGTTTGAAATGAATTGGCAAAAGTCGGTTGTAAAAGTAAGAGCAAACATGCATTACAGCGCTCATGTTACTGTGCATTTAGTATGGTACGAGCTGTTAATGCTAAAGAATGTAATGTGATTAAGTGTGACTATTTTGTGGTGCTGCTTGTGATTGGTAATCATTATACTGTATATTAGACAACAAAAACATCAAACAAAGTGTGATTCTCCCTCAAATGCATCATCATTTTTGCTCAGTGACTTCTTTAATCAACCCGGTTTGAAAGTCAATTGTATTGATGAAATCGGTTTAAATCACCTAATGCAATAAAATTCACATTTTAAGTATTCCAAAAATTGAATTCAAATTCACCATTTATGCACCCTCAAGTTGTTCCAAACCTGTAGCTTATTTCTTCTGTTTAACACAAAGAATGTTAACCAAACAGTTTAGTGTAGCCATTGACTTCCATAGTAGGAAAAAAAAAAAATACTATGGATGTCAATGGGGTCCATCAACTGTTTGGATACCGACATTCTTCAAAATATCTTCTTTTGTGTTCAGCAGAACAGAGAAATTCATGCAGGTTTGGAATAAGGGTGATTACAGAATTTTCATTTTTTGATGAAATTTCCCTTTAAAGGTCGATTTTTTGAAGCCACATTGGCAATCCAAAAGCAAGATAAAGCAAAATAAAATAAGACCATTCATGCAGAATATGTAAATTATTTAAGTTTCACTTTGGCGCTAAACAACGTCACGTTATAACGAATATTGAACACACCGCGACAAAAGATGAATACTTTAATTAACTCATTATTTCTCATCTTATTAGATATTTATTTAAGACAAAACTTTATTTAAAATGTCTTTAAGGTAGTATAAATTTATTTGACATACTGTGCTAGGGGCGACAATAATGCTATTCATCGACTTTTAAAACAAACGGGCGGCTAGTCTGTTAAAGTAGGCCTACGTAGTTTCTTAATATAACATTAAGGGCACTTTAGTGACCACAAAAGTTCACTTAAAAAGAAGTTAGCAGCTTAAAAAGTGTGGTTATTTTTTTACCTGGCGCAACTACAGAAGTGACGTTTGCATGAGGAGGTATCCATGGCAACCGAAGGGCGCTCGAGCGCTTCCGTTAGGAAATAACGGGACGTCCTGTGGTTGTTTATTATGGGCATACTTAATTATAGATTTAAGCATAAGTTTTAACATTTTGTTTTTTTAATAACCTCTTTAAGACCTGGCTTTGACTTACTATTCTAGAAGTTGGGTTGCGCGAGACAAACATACTTTAAAAAGTTCATTTGTAGACATTGAACCCCTTTAAAATCATTGTACAATTCGCATACTGCAAAACAAGACTCATAACCAACTATTTAAATCTGTATTGGATGAACTCACCAGCGTGTGTTGTCATGGACGTGCTCCAGGACTGAATATCCAAAAAACGTCGCATCTGGTCCCCGAAACACCAGGGGATGTTGCAAGTCAATGTTAAAGGAATAAGCCAACGAAACAAAACACAAATACACAAAAACATCCAAAGCGCTTCTTTTCCGTGTAGAAAGTTCCGTCATTCTGTTTTGCATCCTCAGTGCTGAAGCCAATTTCATGAGAACTTTATAAAAGCAATTAAATCTGTATAAAGAGTCTCAGGGGGAAAAAAAAACTACATTTAAACTACGTCCTTTTCCTAATTTGGGAATCTAACGCATGCGAAGAGGATTTAAGAGTGTGAATCGGAGGTTGGGGTTAGAATAGCGGTCTCATTGCGTGGCTCTTCCCTTCTGCTGCTCAGTCTGTTGCGTCTCTAGAGTTTATCTTGGAGTTAAAGCGTGTTGCGCGCGAGCTGACGCACGAGCATCACATTTCACATAGCAGAAGCAGAGCGCGCGCCCCCTGCCGGCAGCTCTCAGTACTGACGCACACTATACTCACTGGCAATGCAGTTTTGCATCATGAAAAAAAAAAAAAAAAAAAAAAAAAACTATATATATATATACATATATATATATATATATATATATATATATTATAGGCCTATGTGATATGGTGCTCTGAGCCTATATAAAAAAATACATATATATTTCTTTAAAAATGCAAACTTGATTATTCTCAGGAACAAATCTGAATGCTGACTAAAAATGTTGGTAATTAAAACTATAATTATTTTGTATATAAATACACACACATACATGT